TGTAAATTCAGATGGGGTATCCTTCAGGCTGTATTTCGGCTCTGGAGGACTTTCGATTTTGTCCAACTTCAACACAGCAATTGGCAGTCTGTAGTCGGTCAGTGTTGCCCCAGTCTTGCTCTGACAAAAATTGAGCTTCTTCTCCCTGCTGTCTTTTCACAGAGACCATTTGATCCCTTTCTATTCCGTCTCGTTAGGTCCATGTGTACAGTCTCTGGTATTGAAAAATGGTATTTTCAATGAACAGATGGTTGATGTTGCAAAATTTTATCATGCGATATCTGGCTTCCTTTCTATCACTCAGGTGATGTTTACTAAGTATGGATCTTTCTTCTTTGTTTCCCAGTTGCACCATCGAATCACAAGTAATCATGATGCTTCTTGGTTCCATGTTTTATCACTTTCAGATGGCAACCCTGGGTAAAATCTTCAATTTCTTCAGTGTTATCATTAGTGGCATTGGTAGGCTGTCTAAATTAGGAGGTCTGAGCCATAAAAAGTATAAAAAAAGATCTCTAGGCTCAAATTGCTTGTTTAATATAATTCCCACTCACCGTCATTAAGTCAATGCTGACTCAGAGCGGACCCCCGTAGGTTTCCGAGACAGTACCTGTGTATGGGAGTAGAAAGCCCCGTCTTTCTCTCGAGGAGCTGCTGCTGGTTTTGAACTGCCAGCCACATGGATCACAGCCCAATGTGTAACGACTATACCACTAGGGCTCCATTTAACTAAATATCCCCCCATGTAAATAAAATCTTAAGGTCATAAAAATAGTCCAACTTAACTCATATTACAGTAATTAAGTGTCACAAAGACAAGGACCAAGTGTGTCATGTTCATTGTTTAATCCCAGGTATTGAAATAGGCCAGGTGCATGGTCAGAGAAGAGTCCTGATCAAAAGGGGAAAATGTGAAACAAAATTTTAAACTTTCAAAAGAATCTAGATTTTTCTGGAGTCCCTGCAGATGATTTTTAAATCAAAACTATCCCCTGGCGTCGTCTTTGAACTGAAAAATAGCCTTTCTTAATTAACAAAGTACATCTGCTTTTCTCCATCTGTGATCAAATGGAAAGGTGCGCTAGCAGCCTGGGGATTATGGGTTGGGTTGTGATCCACATGGCGCTACCTGTAGCTAAAGAGACGATGATGGCATCTCCAAAAGTTGGGTTGGCAGTTCAGGAGGTGGTGAGGTTAGCGGATGGTGGTGGGATACTTTGGAAAAGGGTAGGGAGAATGTTAGCACCACCTGGAGCAAACACCCAGATGACTGCAATGGTGTATTTTGGTTGTTTCTACTTTTACCAAACCAAAGGACTTAAAAAAAGTTGAACATATGCGTAAATGGAAAATATAAAAGCTATTCAAATCAAGAAATGGGTCTAATGGCAAGACAAACCGTGATAAGAACCATGGTCAACTGAGCCTCAGCAAGCTGTCATCTGAAAACTCCTGTCAAAGCTACTTCATGAAAGTTTGGGGTTGAGACGCCTCGTGTCTAGAAAGTTGTAAAGCAACTGGAAAGGGTGCAGAGCCCAGCCTGACTTGCTCCAGATGATGAGAAATGAAATGACAGCCAGACTTACTGTTTGCATTCCTGGCGAACAGTTTCCGTTCCAACAAGATCACCCTATTTCTGAGTTACTCTGATATTTATATGCGTAATGATTGAATATCATATCACACTAGTCTGGCCTTCAGAGTGCCCTGGACATGTATTTTCTGGATGGCCCGCATCTACATTGTACATAAACCAGACAGAAATCATTCATCTTGACACGAGCAGTTCAGGTAAGAATCATAGTCATACTTTTTTCTCCAGCACCAATCTCCTTCACAGACTGTTCAAAAACAGTGCAACTGTCCCCCCGCCCCCAGCCCCCCACCCCCGCTCTGCCCCACCTACGTCTTCTGTAAGCTTGTCCAGACATGGAAGCATCATTCGGCCAGGTTTTCCACTCGGTCCATTGCTCACAGAACAATCATTTGTAAGTGTTTGGTGTATGTCTGACGTCTGTTTGACCTGGAGTCTCAGTCTTTGTCTCAGTGAATCTCATGTCAGGGGCGGCTGCATTCTAGGCTGAATTTCACACCTCGAGGGAGGTTTTGCCTGTGATATAAATGCACGTAGGTGTACAGCGGCCAGACCTGCCCCACCTCCACATGCACGGGTCTACCTTCATCGAAGAGGAAACCGTGACACAAGGGAGACAAGGAAACAAATGCTTCCTCGAGGGGATTCTCCTTGTGCTGTTTTACCCATGGGCTTGAGCCTGGCTTCCCTCTCTGAGAACAGCAGTGCTAACTTGCCTCTGTCTGTGAAGTGTTGTTTGATACTAGAAAGAGCCATATTGGAGTTGCCTGTGTATTGTATTCTGAGAGAAGCAGAAAAAGGAATGATTTTTTTAAAAGATGGCAGGGAAAGGAAGGAAGGAAGCGGGTGAGGGTGGGAAGAGGGAAGTCAACTTACCACTCCTTGGTGGTCAGTAGATCCTCTATCTAAAACTGTCATCTGCTGGCTGTGTCCACTCCTGCCCATTGCTAGGGACATGCTTACCTACAGACCTGGGGACTGAGGGTCAGAAGCTAGTTGAGTCTAGGACGGGTTCAATCCAGGAACCCCTTTCCTTACGCTTCAAACAGGTCCTTTTAACTAGTAACCTCACCGGGTATATGAGATAAGTAAACTTGCCTTGAAAACCACAAGACTCTCACTATTTCCTTGTAAAACACAGTTATTCATAAACTGCGGCCCATAAACACTGCTTTCCTTTGAGAGGGAGGGGCAAGCTCAGCCTGAGCACGTTTCTAAGCTGAGCAGGGAGGGAACGGGAGATGAGAGCATGGTAAGATCTGATGGACAATGGTGAAGAACTTCTTTCTTGGTTTGTGATGTCAGGAGAGGAAGTCTTCGGAGACATCCTTCTGGGTGACTCTTGGGCTCTTTGCACCAGTTTTACAGGCCGGACGTGTACCTGGAATCGCGGGGCTGCTGAAAGTCAAAACTTTCTGGCCCACCGACAAGTAGGTAGAGGGCGAGTTTTTCATGGAAGGTTTCAATTCAAAGCGAGTGGGAAAGCGGAGGGGAAATTGATATCCCAGCTGAGGCTTCCTGGTTAAGGATTCCTTTTCATGGTCCTCGAATTGGTCAACAGGAGTGGGGGCTGGGGCACCCAAGCTTGTGCTCATCAGTCACCTCATGGACCTGGGTTTGAGAACATCGAACCCAGTGAGATGCAAATCATTTAATCACGCCCACTCAGTGGTGACTAAAAGTTGTGAACTCTCTGGAGCCAGGAATCCCCGGCCTGATGTGATAATGCATTTCACAGCCCGGACTGCAGATGAGTGAGCTCAGGCGCAGGGGGAGGATCTATATTCTCCCAGAACCTTTCTACAAATAGAGACAGACCCTCCCTCCCAAACCCATGGAGAAAGAAGGATCCCAGAGGGCAACGCCCACTTCCTGCCCCCACACACATACCTTTCCCTTTCTGTTTGTGCCATTAGGTCACAAGGTTAATGGCACCGCAGTCCCAAATTATCAAGAGGATGAAGGCAGGCACGATTATTAGATTCCCAGTCAAGTCTGAATATGCAATCTGAACACGAAGAAAACCCCATTTGTTCGAAGTCTTACAATTCTGCCCACATCTGTTTGCGCAGGCTTGAGATGCTTAGTAAGCTTTGGAAAGGAGACTAGGAATTCAGGCTGGATCCCCGTGTAGGAATGAGCTGTTGCAAGCTCCGCAGTCAAATAAGGGTCAGAAACACGGTGCATCGGGGACCAAACGAGGGGCTGGGATTTCAATTTTTCATATTCGATTACAGTTATTTCTCTTTCCTTTCGCTTTTTGTACTCATCTGACGTGGGGCCACTATGCGTTCCAATCCACTCAATGGCAGCAGGTTTGGGTGTGTCTTTTTTAGTTTTCTTTTTTTTTTTGTTTGTTTCTAAGGCAGACCTGGTCATGCGTACTCTTTCCCTCTGGAGTCAATGAAAAACATTTTACTTATTTCCTGCGGGTGTCACCACTGAAGGAAAGAGATCATTGCTCCAAACGGCCGCTCTTAGCAGACGGTTTTTACAGCACTTCTCCCGAAATCCGGCTTTGAATGAAAGATGTCACTTCACATTGGCATCGGCTGCTCCCTCATTCGGAAGGAGCGGCTCCAGTGAAAGTCAGTTGGTGGCAAAGACAAGCCAACTGGAAAAGACCCACCCCCACCCCCACCTAAAGGGCTCCCCCCACCTTCCCCACAATGGCTTCAAAGGAAAAGCAAACGAGTCATTTGTTTTGACCTGAGAGCCACCCAACTTATTTTGAAGACTTCAACAGGCAACAAAGATGTACATAGCAATTTGGGACTCCAAAATGCTTCCCTTGAAAGGACTCACTCGGAGAACATTAATTCTACTCGGCGTTTATTTTCATTTGAAGATAGTGTAAATCATATATAAATCATGGACAACATGAGCTCTTCTTGCCAGGCAATTGTCCACTTGAGCCTGTGAATCTCAGTACAGATACAGTACCCCCATTCCTCACTTATCAACATGTTAGGGCCCAAAGACACGGCCTCTCTGTGAAAATTGGCATTATATATATATATATATATACATATATATGGATGAATACATCAGATGACAAAAGGGAGGATGACGACATCACTTCATAGCTGCCAAATCAGTTATTCACAAATAATTTTGTAAATGCCAAATTCTATGGTCTCTGGGGTCTGCATGAAATCTGTTCCTGTCTCTTTTAGAATTTGCTGGTAAGCCGGAACAGGTAATGCGGTTCTTATTTTAACCTTTCTTCCGTGCAAGAGTGAGTCCTGGCGGCTGATAGAAACGTCCAAACCCACCGATCACTTTGCTAGAGAAGGATGTGGCCATCTGCTTCCATGAGGATTTACAGCTCTGGCAACCAGAATGGGGCCGTTCTACTCTGTCCCACAGGGTCACTATGAGTTGGAATCGACTCGATGGCAGTGGGGTTTGTGTGAGTGCCAGACAAGGTGACTGTGATGAAGAATTTGGAGTAAGTAGTAGGTTTCAAAGTGAGGGCAAATGTCTGTAACGTGAAAGGGGAAGTAGGAGCTGTCCCTAGGCTGGACATGGTTAACTGGGGCTGCCTGGATGTAAGTGACCAATTACATAATTACATAACGGTCGAGCCATTGAAAAGCATGGTGCAGCCAAACTAACACATGTCCTTAACTGTCAGCCCCAGGCTCACTCTTGCCGTGTACCTCAGAGCCCATTACTGTTGATAGTCACCATGAATGTGTAAAATGGTCTGGGTGTCTTTGTGTCTTTAACCATTGTCAGATATGAAATGTTGGCTAACAGAGTTGATAAGTAAGGAGTGGGAGGATCATTTTAATAGAAAGACAGGGCAATATGGCAGTTAATTAGCAACCAAAACTGTAAACTACAGTAGATAGAAAGTTTTGTCATATAAATTAATTGCCATTGCAAAAGGCAACTGCTTTAGCTAAGAAGGTACAAAACCCAGTAACTTCCATAAATAGAACAAGAAGCTAAGTTTAGAAATACATAACAGACTGTTTCTCCTATATAATATTTGAAGATGTAAGCTAAGACACCTGTGGCACTTTACACGCAAACAGGAATAAGACACACACGCGCACACACTCTCACACCCACCCGCGTGCAGAATCCCGGCCCTCCCCGCTGCGTGGATTTCCCGGACATGGCAAATTCCAGAGTTACCAGGACAGGATGCTGTGGCAAGGCAGCCGCAAGGCAGAGAGTTTCGAACTGCTAGACAAAGAAGGAACCTTGCTGACAGTTGTAAAGCATTAGGCGTCAGACGGAAACTTGTCACAAACAGCTGCTGTTGGGCACTGATTGATAATGTTTTCCTTCTGACGGCTGAGACCCTGCAGACAGTCGTGGGTCTGAGGAGAAGCCCATCCCCAGCGCACACATGAACACACACACACAGACAACGGGGAGTCATTTAACAGATGGCTTGCAGCACTCAGCCACGGTATCTGAAAAAGACAGTCTACATTTCGTGAACTTGCCGGGGAAGCAATGCCTAGATCCTTTCCTTTTCACAGATAACAAGCACCACAGGGCAAAACGGAAGCAAAAGGACCAGGTGGCGGGTTATCGGGATAAAACTGGGGTGCTGCTCACGGACCACCCAGCGTAGGAAGAGCCTAGGACACTGTCGGCAAAGCGGTAGACAGATCGCTGTGAAGCTTTTTACAAAGCTTCAAGAAGGGCTCCGTGTGGCCCAGGTAATGCTTTCATTAAAGCCCACCCGATGAGATTAAACCACAACCACGACCCTGTCAGGGCGGTATGGGTCTGCCAGAGGTCACACTACACGGCTGGATCACAGGGGATTGCACGGCCCTGGAACGCAGTGCGAGTCTGTGGGATGTGGGCAGCGGTCTATCCAGCCTCAAAATGAAACCGTGTTTTTATTGCTCAGGTGTATGGAGGGAGCAGTATGCTATCATTTGGCCAATGAGTATTGTAGGCTCGGAAGTCTACAAAATACACCAAAGGATATTTGATCCACAAACTTCAATATCCAGGGATGATTCCTGATTTAGAAAAGGTCAAAGGCCTCCAATCTTTCTGTGACTATGCACTTAGCTCTACATAATTTTATCATTTCAACTAAATGGGGAAAAAATTAGCTCCAAAGACTGGATCTGGGCCCTAAAATGATTTATTCGCTGCAGTCCCCACAGTTCACTTTTAAGGGCACATTGGAACCCCTGAAAATAGAGGTTTATAATAGAAATACTGATAGACCTTTAATTACTAGACGGAGACATTAACAGACTCCATTAAATTACATTAGCACTTAATGAATAAATATACAGATGATTCTGTCTTTGATATCTCTGTCACAATCCATGCCAGTTGAAACAACTATATTTACTTTGGCTGCACTTTCTTTTTTAAAATCATGCATTCTTTTAACTATTATTTCCTCTGTTTGAATCGAACACACACCTTGGATTTGGGGGCGGAAAGGTACCTATACTATGTTGCAGGTTGACTTTATGCAGAGTAATATTTCCATTAAAAAATATTTGGGGCCTTGATCAGATAGGAATCAGTGGTGCATGCATTGTGCCCCTGTTTCCTTGAATCCGTCTAGAAAAACCAGAACAGGTCTCCGCTCAGAAGACAGTAATCTCTGCAGGTGTAAGTAGAGACATTGTGTGTCTTGTCTCTCAATTCTCCACGTTAGCCTCACTCGGGGACTAGTCTCTTTGCTGGTAAGGTGACTAAATGATGGTTATTCTTGGTGCTCATTTTTGTCTCAGTCTATAAGGTCAGTCAACCAAATAATGATAATGAAACCTCAAGAGAGTCTGAAAATGATATACATGTTGTGTGAAGCTCCCGTCACAGGACGCGCCACCCGGCTGGAGCCCAGGGAAAATTAGTCAAAGTCTTGTGAGCCTTTTGGAAGCCTTCGTAAGGGATTTAATTTCTGAGAGCCGTGAATTCCTGCCTTTTCGCAGAGGAGAGGAGAGACGCTTAGAACAACAGAAGGAAGAGACATGCGGTGAAGATAATTAGTGGTAAACAGAGAATAAATTCTCTCTCAGTAGTGTGTACTTGACATTAATGCCGATGATAATTCACCTGGTTTACAGAATATCCACTTTAATTGAGAGATGGGAGTCTGAGCTAATGAGAAGAAAATAGACGGAAGCCATGATAGTCTTGATACCAAAATAAAATAAAATAAAATAAAAACGAGAATCTAATGCGACAGGCCCAAGGCCTTTGGAGGAAGCCCGTTGGCTTGGCCAGACTTCACATTCTGACGGCGTCCTGCTCTTTCTCTTCTAACAAATGTATCAGCTGAGAGAAGCTGTCTTTCAGTGTGTCCATGTCGTCCAGGGAGCAGGGCTGCAGAATCCAACGTTTTCCACGTGCAAGTGGCTCAAGTTCAAAATATTTTTTGACCTTCAGGAAAAACAGATAGAGATAAAGGTGTCATTAATCATATCAGAACCGTTCTGGGCCAAACTGTGGCGTCATAAAATAGGGGATTTTTAAGGAGAATGTATACAAACCATGATGCCTGAGACTTTCTACGACCCCAGCCATGGCTGCTGTTAAAATGGGGGTTGTATGTGGTGACCTGGGAGTGATTTCCTTAGGGGTGAAGGACTTGTTTGCAAGCCACTGTTCTCTCACAGGGAGGGCTGGCGAAGGTGTTCTTCTGGCACGGGACAAAGAACACTGCAGACACCAGAAAGATCCAACCCAGTCCAAAGACTTCTAGCAGGGCAGCTTTCAGACACTGTCCTGTTGACTCATTACCAACCAACAGTCTGGAAGCTGTCAATTATTCATGACTTAACCCTCAAAGAATCTGTTTCTCTCTAGCTCTCTTAAATTGCAGTATCTATCGGAGACCAGAGTGTGTGTGTGTGTGTGTGTGGGGGGGGGGGGCTTCAAGAAGTTGATGGGTAAATTCCTGTATCTTTCAATATAATTTTTAAGTGAATTTCTGAAGCTTTCTCATATACATACACATAAAATCTCTTAGCTTTGCCCCCTCCGTGTTCTTAATTTTTAAGGGGGAAAAATAAGATTAAGATGTTACAACTGGTTTGTGGGGTGTGTTATTTGCGATCTTAAAAAGTGTCCCTAGTAGTGAACTTCAACATCTAAAAGCTATGGGCTTTAATCAACAATAACAGGGCCATATTGGCTCATCGATTGTAAAAAACATGTCATAATCAATGAAAAATGTTACTTGCAGGGAAAACTTGAGGGGCTAGAGGTTGGGGAGTAGTAGGGAAAAACTCTGTGTTTTATGTTCGATTTGCGGGGGGGAACATAAACTGTTGTGAAAAAAATGTATATTAATTTTAAAAACACACGAACAAAACATAATCATGTTTAATTAATAACCAACTGTAAGTCACTCACTCAACGGATCGACTAGTTTTGTCAATCCCTGGCTGCGACCTAATAGACATCACAATAGCTATGACTTTATCATCAAACGGCTCTGAGCCAGACAGGCTGGTGATCGTCACAGGGCACAATGCTGACTCACGTCACACACACTCTGGGACCCCCGAACAACATGCTGCCTTTGCAGCCCAGCAAGGTTTTGCGTAATGGAGTAGGGATGTCAGAAGCAGCATGGCTCAAAGACATTTTTGGTCAATGCATTTCCTTAAGTCTCGCATACTTTGGGAAAAATTCAAGGTCTTATCTTAGTCAAAACCCAACTCAGAAAAACAAACAAACAAAACAGCGTCTGATCCATTCCCAAAGGAGGTTTCGATTTGCCGTAGTCATGACACACACCAGACAAGTGTTCACATCAGAGATGCACCGTCCAGAATGGCTTTGGGGTGTTTATGTATACCTTGGGTGTGTATACCTTGGGTGTGTATATACCTTGGGTGTGTAT